TGGAGTGCATTGGACATGTTTTTTTTATTTTATTTACACTTATATGGAAGTATGCTATGCACACACACATGCTGTAACTTGACAAATAACTTGAGAGCAGGTGAAACAGAATTAACTCTATACATTTTTGATCTTCAGTCAGTGATCGCATAAAATGGCTACTATGGCTAAGGCAATGAAAAACAGAGCAGTATCCGTGACTGTCCACATTTTAGTTCCGTCATAATGAAAGTGTCAGTGATACGCTGACCTGCATTAAACAGACACTGTATCATTCTTCACATTAGCTTGAAGGGAAAATGACCAGGATGTAGCTCAGTATGCCCATTGGTGCATGTATGGGCCTTTGGCATCCACTTGGCCTGACCCACTTAGAATGGTGTGTTGGTTATTTTAAGACACCAGTCGCACACCCTGCGGCAAAAACACGCAGCATGAACAGTGTTTTAGAGGATGGTGTGGCAGTCCAGAGCAAAACTGGTGTGTGACATCCAATACAATGGCTGCAAATGACAGCAAGATATTTTTGTGCTTTACAAAAACAGCAACCCAGTCAGACGAGTGAGACAAAACAGGGAACAGCACATGATGCCACTGCATTCCATATTGTGGAGGTGGTTTGGTTGAAGAAAAGAAAGAAATGTGTTGTTACTTGAACACTATACAGATCTATTCTGAAACCATCAATATACTAATCTGGATGATCTCTTCTGAAAATCAAGTTGTAGTTCTCTGTTAAACAGATCTGCCAACTGGTCTGTGGGCCTTAATACCATCACCACGGAAACAAGCATTGCTGCCTATGAAGGGCAATGAGCCTTACTGTGGCTCTTTTCCAAAATCTAGTGAGTTGTTTCATTGTCTACATAAGCAGCTACTTTTCAAGACAACATCCTAACTCAAATGAAACCTGATTAAATTAGTGATCTGAAACACTCTCCACAGGCAGCACAGACCAAATTAAACAGACTAAAGTCAACATATTTTACGCTCTTTACACTAAAAAATGTTACCAATTTAGTTAGCAATAATGATTATCGTGTATATATATATAAACTTAATAATTTGCCATTTTCACACACACACACACACACATGGTTTCTGTCATATTCTATATATAACTGGAATGATTGTAGAAATGAAACGTGGGAGGCAGTTCTGAAAACGTTTCTGGCTGAAAACATGTTCCCATATCAATCTGATAGATTACCATTCCCTACATAGGGAATATAGCAGTCATGACTGGTCATCTGGTCAAATAAGCCTGCAGCTGTTCTCTCTATTCATCAAGCATTTGGATTCTTACATAAGCGCAGATTCATGAGGAAGGATGGTGAACTCTGGCTCAAAATCATGCCACTGCACTTGCCACACATTTTGCTTCTATTGTCCTCTTTTGTAAGTCACTTTGGATAAAAGCATCTGCTTAATGACTAAATGTAAATGTAAAATTTAGTACACAACATCTCAAGTTTTTTTTTTTTTTTACAAAAATACGAAAAACAATTAGTTCAAGTGATATTTACAGTGACTTTTCTGTTCACACATCACATGTCTCATATTCATCCCATGTTCTTCTCTAACACTGTTGTCTCCTGGGTGAATAAGTATGCTAAATCTTTATTAGCCTAAAATTCATCAGGGCCCAAATTGTTTGTTGTGACGGATATTACATAATATCCTGTAAGGACAGCAGTAATTTGTGTAAAAAAAATAAATAAATCACACAATAAATACTGAAATGGCTTGTTATGTCAACCTTGTTTAGTTTATGGTTAAAAAGTATTTATAGCTGCAGTTCGTAACTTTTTTTGGTTAAAAATTATTAAAAATCAATATTTGAGCAAGTACATAACCAGCCAGTGTTCAAAACTATCGCCTTACTTTAGCCCGATTCACAACGGTTAGCTTATAATAATGTTTTCTAATTTGAGTGGTTTGGGTAGTTTTTCACGGGAAATTCGAGCATGGCACTGCGTCATTACATCACGTCTGTAAACATAAAGAAGTTGTCCCGGCTACTTATCGCATGTGAGGATCCTGCAGGTGGCAGATCGTTTATAGCCTTTTCTCAAAGCAGCCGGAATTAATTAAATATATCATTTTGATGGCGGATTGTAAATCCATAAAGGATTATGTGTTTATGAAACACATGTGCATGAAATTAAATGATATTCCAGTTATAAATGTGCTTCTGATTACAGATAGCCTGGGATTACAAAGATTTGTATTTTATCATCCACGCTGGAGCCGTGCCGGCTCACAACCAACGCAAGCTTGATAATTTCGCACACAGCTGCAATTCCAGGTTTTCAAACAAAGATGGTGAGATTGAAAGTCCAGATCAAAGGTAAACAAAGTCAAATGTGGAACTAGTTTCAAAGAAAGGTCCAACATATTAGGAATACTTTTAACTTGAAGGCTTCCCTGTCGAGAAGAAACTTCGCAAGTTGGTTGTTTTGACTGAAACCCGAACATTCCATCAAATTCCTCCATTGTGTAAAAACACTACTGCAATTCCAGGTTTTCAAACAAAGATGGTGAGATTGAAAGTCCAGATCAAAGGTAAACAAAGTCAAATGTAGAACATAGGAACTAGTTTCAAAGAAAGGTCCAACATATTAGGAATACTTTTAACTTGAAGGCTTCCCTGTCGAGAAGAAACTTCGCAAGTTGGTTGTTTTGACTGAAACCCGAACATTCCATCAAATTCCTCCATTGTGTAAAAACACTGCTAGTGTTTACCCGTGTTTTACCCCATTGTCTCTCTCTCTCTGTATTTTGGCATGTCTTCGAATTGTGCCTGCACTTCTGTGAAGGAATCTGAATTTCTCTTTCAACACAACACCAGCTAAACACCCTCTGGCTCAGCCTGCAACAGTAGCCACACCCAAAACTTTCGCGATTGGCTGCGCAGTTATGAAAATGCATAGGCTGACCCTGACGGGCATATGAGATATGACACACACACACACATATGTATGCGTATCTATGATAGGACATCCATTCACCCACACCCAAAACTTTCGCGATTGGCTGCGCAGTTATGAAAATGCATAGGCTGACCCTGACGGGCATGAGATAGGACACACACACACACATATGTATGCGTATCTATGATAGGACATCCATTCAATGCAATGAGTGGACAAACATTTTATGGGCCTGAGCCACTCTACAGAAGATATTTATATATTAAGACCACTTTAATTGTTGATTGCTATCAGGATGTGAAGAGACTTAACTAGTATAACAAAAATGTTTCTAGAAAAAAAAATAGCCTATCCTACCTTTTAAAGGGATAGTCCACCCAAAATGACAATTCTGTGATCATTTACTCACCCTCAAGTTGTTCCAAAACTGTATGACTTTCTTTTATCTGTGGTGGAACATATTTTGTGAAAAGCCGAGGCTTGTTTTAATACAACGTAAACCAATGGAGCCAAAACCTTCAAAATTCTGTGTTCCGTTTCAATCATACAGGTTTAGAAAGACATGAGGGTGAGTAAATGTTGGCAGAACTTTTATTTTTGAACGAACTATCCCTTTAACATTGTGTTTCTTGTCCAGCCTCCCACTTTCCTCCAAAATTAAGACTGAACGGTTCAAAAATGCAAAACTCAAGCGGGACGTTCAAACAGCAATGGTATCAGAATGCCCTCTAGTGTTCAGGCATCTCACCCTCAAGTTGTTCCAAAACTGTATGACTTTCTGTCATGTTCCATCATCTGTGGTGGAACATATTTTGTGAAAAGCCGAGGCTTTTTTTAATACAACGTAAACCAATGGAGCCAAAACCTTCAAAATTCTGTGTTCCGTTTCAATCATACAGGTTTAGAAAGACATGAGGGTGAGTAAATGTTGGCAGAACTTTTATTTTTGAACGAACTATCCCTTTAACATTGTGTTTCTTGTCCAGCCTCCCACTTTCCTCCAAAATTAAGACTGAACGGTTCAAAAATGCAAAACTCAAGCGGGACGTTCAAACAGCAATGGTATCAGAATGCCCTCTAGTGTTCAGGCATGGAGTTCACTAGTGATTTCTCAATAGTAGTAACCTAAATAAAAGGCCTTCAACATAAAAATGTTCATGTGGTTCATCTGTGTTGGCAATAATGCCATTTCTTCTTTCTTAAAAAAAAAAAAAACAAGTAACCAAGACAGCATAGTGAACTAGGTTATTTAACAAAACAAACAAACCAATTATTTATAGGCTATGTTGTCTCTGTTTTTTTCTTTTGGCTTGTTTGTATTATTTTTTTTATTGGTTGTTCTTTTGAGAAATAAAGTGATATATAACCATCTCACTTTATGACTTAAGAATAAATATAAATTTAGTCTAGAAACTAAAAAAACAAACATTTGCTGAATAATGCTGAACACATTTACAAGTTTACAAGGATTGATTCAGTTCATATGTTTTCAAATTGATGAATATTTTGGTGGGGCACCACCCCACCTATCCATAAAGAACAGCCACAGCTGCTACTGAAATAACTGGATTTTGCCAGGGAATATTTGATAAACCATGGTAAATGTGACCACAACTTTAGCAACAACAGATAGACATTTTATGGTCCCTAGAAAGTCACACAGGTTTGAAATGACATGAGGGTGAATACATTTTCACTTGCACATGAACTATCCTTAACAATAATAATGATGATAATGATAACAACAATACAAATAATTTTATAAAAATATTGAATATCTAATACATAATTGTTAACATAAATTAATAACAATAAAAAAAAAAAACAATAGCAAATGTTTGAACATAAAGAGTCCATTCAGTTACAGTTTATGCTCTGACATAAACACTTTCCAATTAACTTTTTCCAGTTGTTTCATCTGAAATCCCTCGACAGACATGAACGGAGAGCGCTCTGGTAAGGTTCTCGATTTGTGAGCGGAGGAACCTGCGATCCTCCTGCAGGTCCTGCACCTGCCTCTCCAGAGCTTCAATCCTCTCCTGTTTGCTCTCCAGCAGACAATGAAGTTTAGTGATGGTCAGCATAACACCGCTGGGCAAATCTTCCATGATCGGAGGTCTCACTGCTGAGAAAGAGAGAAAAAACATGACGATTTGTCTCTGTACATGTATTTGTTCCTGAAGAAGAGAAGACTTCTCTAACTGACAACCCAATTGCCTGGCTGGGATTCGAACAAACAACCCTCTGTTTAATGACAAAAGTGTACCACTCACATCACTGCAGCCATTACCTAAATGTCTTCTCTATCTACGTCTCATCATTGTGTTTTGGAGATGCTAATGAGCTAATTAACATTGATTCTCAGGAAATCCCGTACTGGAGGTGGAAGTGGCGCTGCTCGGAGTGTTGTCCTGCTCTGTCTCTGTCTCAGTGGCAGCTGGCAGTTTGTTTACATTGTCCCACTGGATTACTACAGTCTCTGGTTCCTGTTTCATCCAGCTATCGCTGTTCACAGGACTCTCCAGTGTGGCAGAGCTGGAGTCAACTTCACTGCTGGGAGAGTATGGAGCAAAATCCTGCTGCCATTGGGAGTTCATCTCAACCTGAGAGCTGCAGGAGGACAATATCACATGACAATCAAGGCATAATTCCACTTTTATATATTACTTTACTAATAATAACTACATGAACTCAAAGCTGGCTTCATTAAGTATATAACAGGCTTTCAAAATGTCCAAAACATGTTAATACTAGGACGATGAAAAATGCTATAAAACAATGGTTATCAGGTTTGCAAACAATTAAACGGGCTGAAGGCACATACGAGCATTGCAGTGGTAAATTCCGAATCTTGCTCCTGCGACTTCTCTGGTACCGTCTCCATTTCTGCCTCAATTCCTCCTGTCTTGATTTAGTGAGTTCAGCTACTGGAGGATGTTTAGTCTTTCCCTCTCTTTTTCTTCGCTGATAACTAATAATTTGAAACAAAAAGAAAGTGTTTTAGCAAACACTAAAATGTAATATTTATATAAACGCATTACTGTTTTTAATAATAGTATAACTTTAAATATAACTGCATTTTTGCTATTAGAATTTATACGAATATGTGGAACAAAAATCAAACACCTCTCTCTTCTTTTTGCAAGGTATCTGGCCCTGGCAACAGGATCAGCATTCACCTTTGCTCTATGTCGAGCCGATTTCTCATTGTTTGATAGTGGCATCTATAAATGAGAAATGAGAAAGAAAAAAAAAAAGCTTGTTACAACACAATAATTATGTATATATGTGGAAAAAATCCGTTACAAAAGGGATATGCATTTAAACTAGACTGTGTTGTATCTTAATGCGTCTAGATTTAATGTTAGTTAGACCTACAAATGCACAAAACAATTACTTTTTGCAGTCTAGTTTTAATAGATGCCTGTGTTAAAGTGAGTGATCAAACCAGTATAAGTAGACTTTAGTTGTATTAAATACAGCTATGACTCCACTTAACTGTAGAACTGTTCTTGCAATTCATTTACATTTTATATTATAGTAAAATTTCACTTCCAGTCTAAACTGATCTAGAAGAATTAGTGTAACTGTGCACACAATATTTGATTTAACTATGGATTAAAGTGTTTATGTCATATATTACAGCCCATACGACTGTATTAAGGAAGGATGATAACATCTAAAAACATAGCTCTATAAATTCAAATGACATTTTCAGCATCAGGAAATCACCGTAGTAGTTCGTGTATTAGATCTTGCAGTGCGTGTGTCAAATGGAGTGATTGGTTACACCACTTGACATTTCAGTTACCACATTTGTCTAAAAAGTACCATAATTCATGAACCTTCAACGCTTTCCAGCAGACTATATGTGATCATCAACAAACTTTACTACGTCATAAAACGATGAAATAATACACTATTTAGAAAGACATACTAACCTTGACACACAGCCATGAGGATTTGAAGGGTTCGTCTCTGAGACACCATTTCCCGTTTCACGGTCACATGACAGCAGCACATGTCGGTTACACCAGAGATGGGGGAGGGGCTCTGGTTACACCACACAGAACAGCTTCACTACTTGTTTCAAATAAATTATAATACATATTATGCCAAACTGCTTTTGCATAGACTTTTTTCTCTTATACTTTTTTATTTATAATTTAAGTACGGTTACACCAACTAGACTTTTGTTTTGTTTTTTTTGCCGGTTCTACTGAAGTAATTCGTTAAACTGGTTCTCAACGGGACTGAACGCTCACTTCACGAATAGGACTGAGTCATATGGTCCTCGGGTCAACCGCTCAACCGAGAACCGTCCCAGGAATGCGTTTCCCAAAAGTATCAACTATGGTCGCAAGTTCTGTTTTTAACTCCGTTGGTTACGACCGAACCTGCAACAGCTGCTTTTGGGAAACGCATCCCAGGTCATGACTGTAATGATCAAATGACCGAAAAGTGAGCTCATTACAGTATGCCGTGAACTGAGGACTTGACCTGGTCAACCTTACTGCCTGATTAGGTTCAAAGTAAGTAACTTTTAATAATAACTGAAAAGTACTGCCTGTGATTCTGAAGATCTGCTTCAGGTGTGTTTGACTGGGGTTGTTAAACTTTGCAGGACAGTGGGTCCCAGGAGCAGGGTTGAAGACCTCGGTTATAGAGAGCATGTTCATTAAGTTAAAAAAATAAATAAATAATAGGCTAAAGTCTCTTGCGGGGACCTTTATTTGTTAAATAGCTTGGCACTTGGCAGACAGGCATTTTTAAACATTTAAAAACGAATGAAACAAATAAAGAATGAAAACAAATGTTTCAAACATAAAAACCACAAGCAGTGTTCTTGAACTCTTGACTCTTGAGGGCCACTGTCGAGTAGAGTTCAGCTGCAACCCTGATCCAACTCACCAGCCTGTCATTTTCTAGCAATCCCTAAAGACCTCTGGATTGGCTTTTTAAGGGGTATTTGATTCAGGTTGAAGCTAAACTCTATAGGACAGTGGAACTTGAGGGCCAGATATGAAGAACCCTGACATAAAGGAACACAGTGACATTGTGTGAGAATATAACCTTGGTAGAGATTTCTGTAAACAAACACATACAAGGATCATCTCAAACATACAAGCCCAATCTGTGCTTCATGAGTGGACTGGATGGTCTGTTCCAGCTACTGCACACAATATGTGCAACTTAAAATTGAAAAAGAAAAAATAGCTCTAAGTGATCTGTGCATTTATTACACAAACCACTTAAAACTCCAGAGAGACGTACACACAGTACACAGTAATAAAACTACTTTATTTCCTTCCAGCACCATTTTCACTCAACAATGGTATTAGAGCGACCTCTAGAGTTCAATAATGGAGAATGCTCTTGTTTTTATTGCAGTGCTAGGCCAGCTTCTCCAGAAGCTCTCATCCGCTCCATCCTTTATACAAGGGCTTCATCAGCAAACAAAGAAAGAAAAAGAGCTGTTCAGTTGTGATATCAACTGGCAGGTCAACCCGGAAGACTGTGTCAGGGTTTTACTGATGGTTTTCAGAGTAGCAGTTTCATTCATTTCATTTTCAGAATCATTGTTTACACAAGTATAAGAATGTAAGTTTACATTTGACAAATCGTAAGTAGCAACTTGCCTTTTTAAAGCAACAAGATAACCACACTCATATGTACTCATAAATCAAAAGCCCACCTGAGCAAGGTTCAGATATGTTAATTCATGTTTTCTGGGTTGTTCAATTACAAACTGAACTGCTCTGCTGTGGAGAGAGGACACACTGCTGGGCGTAGCTGACTTATGTTTCCTCGCAAGGCCTGATCAGACCCACCAGACGAACAGATTTGTTAGCAACCTGGTGCAGTTCTGCGATGAGGAGGGCCATGTTGGGGATGTTGTCAGGGAGGGTTCAACCAGGAGCGCTGTCCCAGGCCATGATAGAGGGTCCAGATTAGGTCCTTTATGGTACAGGCTACTCTACTCCTGGGCATATGGACGCTCGCTCGTAAAAAACTGTCCCGGGCCCTGTGAACTTTAATGACACACTTGGGCAGAAAGTACTATTCATGCTCTTCTTCTTGATAAAGGCTGATCAAGACCTAGTCACAATGAGGAACACACCCTGTTGGGAAGAGATTGAAATGCAACTCAAAAATCCATTTCAAATTTGGCCGTTTTGATTTAAGCTTGGGTATTGTTTTGGTTTTAGGACAACTTTGATGAAAGGTTTTGA